AGAATTGCCATTTTTACTATGTTGATCCTCCCAATCCAAGAGCAGGGGAGATCCTTCCATTTTCTGGTGTCCTCTTCAATTTCTTTCTTCAAAGACTTAAAGTTCTTGTCATATAGATCTTTCACTTCCTTGGTCAGAGTTACCCCAAGATATTTTATGCTATTTGTGACTATCGTGAAAAGTGATGCTTTTCTGATTTCCCTCTCTCTTTCCTTATCCTTAGTGTATAGGAAGGCCACCGATTTTTTGGAGTTGATCTTGTATCCTGCCACATTACTAAAGGTGTTTATCAGCTGTAGGAGTTCTTTGGTAGAGTTTTTGGGGTTGCTTATGTATACTATCATATCATCTGCAAATAATGAAAGCTTAACTTCTTCCTTTTCAATACGAATCCCCTTGATCCCCTTATGTTGTCTTATTGCTATTGCTAGAACTTCAAGTACTATATTGAAGAGGTATGGAGAGAGTGGACATCCTTGTCGTGTTCCAGATTTTAGTGGGATGGCTTTGAGTTTTTCTCTGTTTAATTTAATGTTAGCTGTCAGCTTGCTGTAAATAGCTTTTATTATATTTAGGTATGACCCTTGTATCCCTAATCTCTCCAGGACCTTTGTCATAAAGGGGTGTTGAACTTTGTCAAATGCTTTTTCAGCATCTAATGAAATGATCATATGGTTTTTTTCTTTCAGTTTATTTATATGGTGGATTACATTGATAGATTTTCGTATGTTGAACCAGCCCTGCATCTCTGGGATGAAGCCTACTTGATCATAATGGATAATTTTTCTAATGTGTTCTTGGATTCGGTTTGCCATTATTTTATTGAGAATTTTTGTGTCGATATTCATGAGTGAGATAGGCCTGTAATTCTCTTTCTTGGTTGAGTCTTTGTGTGGTTTTGGTATCAGGGTAACTGTAGCTTCATAAAAGGAATTTGGCAATGACTCTTCTGTTTCTATATTGTGAAATACATTAAGGAGTATAGGTATTAGCTTTTTTTTTGGAAGTTCTGGTAGAATTCTGCATTGAAACCATCTGGTCCCAGGCTTTTTTTGGAAGGGAGATTTTTGATAACAGTTTCTACTTCTTCGCGACTAACAGGTCTGTTTAGATCGTTCACCTGGTCTTGGTTTAGCTTTGGTATGTGGTACTTATCTAAAAAAATGTTCATTTCTTTTGCATTTTCCAGTTTTGTGGCATACAGGCTTTTGTAGTAAGATCTAATGATTCTCTGAATTTCCTCTGTGTCTGTGGTTATGTCCCCCTTTTTATTTCTGATCTCATTTATTTGCGTGTTCTCTCTCTGTTGTTTAATTATTTTGGATAGGGGTTTGTCGATCTTGTTGATTTTCTCCAAGAACCAACTTTTTGTTTCATTAATTCTTTGGACTGTTTTCTGTGTTTCTATTTTGTTGATTTCCACCCTTAGTTTGATTATTTCCAGTCTTCTACTCCTCCTGGGCGCTTCTGCTTCTTTTTTTTTTCTAAAGCTTTTAGGTGTGCTGTTAAGTCCCCGATGTATGCTTTCTCCGTTTTCTTTAAGTGGGCACTTAGTGCTATGAACTTTCCTCTTAGGACGGCTTTCATCGTGTCCCATTGGTTTGAGTATGTTGTCTCTTTATTTTCATTAAATTCAAGGAAGACTTTAATTTCTTTCTTTATTTCTTCCTTAACCCAGGTGTGGTTCAGTAGTTGACTGTTCAGTTTCCATGAGTTTGTTGGCTTTCTGGGGGTAGCATTGTTGTTGCCTTCTAACTTTAATCCGTGATGATCTGATAAGACACAGGTGGACACTGATATTTTTTTTGTATCTGTGGAGGTTTCCTTTGTTTCCGAGTATCTGGTCAATTTTAGAGAAGGTTCCATGAGCTGCAGAGAAGAAGGTATATTCTTTGCTGTTTGGGTGGAGTGTTCTATTGATGTCTGTTAAGTCCATTTGCTTCATTACCTTCAATAATTCTCTTAATTCTCTATTAGGTTTCTCTTTGATTGACCTGTCCATTGGAGAGAGAGGTGTATTGAAGTCTCCTACTATTAGTGTGTGTAGTTTGATGTCTGCCTTGAGTTCTATTAATATTTCTTTTACATAGGTGGGTGCTTTTATATTAGGGGCGTAGATATTCAGGATTGAGACATCATCCTGATGAATTGTCCTGTTATGAGTATAAAGTGTCCATCTCGATCTCTTCTGATTCATTTTAGTTTTAAGTCAGTTTTGTTAGAAATTAGTATGGCCACACCTGCTTTTTTCTTAGGACCATTTGCTTGAAAGACCTTTTCCCAACCCTTTACTCTGAGTAGATGCCTGTCTTTGTCGTTGAGATGTGTTTCTTGCAAACAGCAGAATGTTGGATCCTTTTTTCGTATCCAATCTCTTAGCCTGTGCCTTTTTATAGGTGAATTGAGACCATTAATATTAAGTGATATTAATGACCAGTGGTTGTTTACTCCAGTTGTTCTTATTGTTTTTGGTAGTAGAGTTTGTGTGTCTCCCTTCTTTGAGTTGTGCTGGTGAAGGGTCGCTAGATGCCTGAGTTATTGTTGGCAGTGTTGGCAATGTTGGATTTTTTGGGTTGCGATTTTCCTTCTATTACTTTCTGTAGGGCTGGATTTGTGGCTACGTATTGTTTAAATTTGTTCTTATCCTGGGATGTCTTGTTTTCTCCATTGATAGTGAACGAAAGCTTGGCAGGATATAGTAGTTTGGATTTGCATCCATGGTCTCTTAGTTTCTGCACTACCTCTATCCAGGACCTTCTGGCTTTCATGGTTTCCATAGAGAAGTCAGGTGTAAGTCTGATTGGTTTACCTTTATAAGTTACTTGGCCTTTTTCCTTTGCAGCTCTTAATATTCTTTTTTTAATCTGTGTATTTTGTGTTTTGATTATTATATGGCGAGGGGATGTTTTTCTTTGATCCAGTCTGTTTGATGTTCTGTCTTCTTCTTCAATATTCAAAGGAATATCTTTCTTTATGTTGGGAAAGTTTTCTTCCATAATTTTGTTCAAAATATTTTCTGGGCCTTTGAGCTGTGACTTTTCTCCTTCTTCTATTCCTATTATTCTTAGGTTTGGCCTTTTTATTGTGTACCATTTTTCCTGAATGTTTTGTGATGAGAATTTGTTGGCTTTGCTGTTTTCTTTCGTCAGTGCGTTTATTTTCTCTATGGTGTCCTCAGAATCTGAGATTCTTTCTTCTATCTCTTGTATTCTATTGATTATGCTTATTTCTTTTAGGCTCTGCTCATTGACCTAGATTTTCAATATCCAGCTGGTCCTCAGTTTGTGTTTTCTTCCTTGCTTCCATTTCAGTTTTCAATTCTTGAACTGTTTCCATTAACTGTTTGATCGTTTTTTCTTATTTTCCCAGGGTATCATGTATGTATTTACTCATTTCTTAAAACTTTTTGTTATATTTCTCATCCATTTCTATAAGGGTATTTTTCACATGTTGTTCAAGGGACTCTAATGCTTTCATAAAGTCATTTTTTTCCACTTCTTCTGTGTTAGGGTGTTCAAGTCCTTCTGTTGTAAGATCATTGAGTTCTGGTGTTTTCATGTTGTTTTTCAGATTATTGGGTGAATTTTTGCCTTGGCACCTGCCCAGCTCCTCCTATAGATGCTATCTAATGGGTCTTTAAAAACCGGATCAGGTTTCCCTGCTGGCCAGGTGCTCCTCTTACAAAATGCCCTAGCTCTGTTTCCTGGCTCCTGCCTGGGGCCAAGATCCCTCTCACCCCTCAGAAGGGTCTTCAGGAACAGGGCCCAGCTCCTCATTCACCAGGTACCTCGCCAACAAAAGGGCTACTACTCTGCAGGCCAGCCACCAAAACAGAGAAACTCCCGCTGCCCTCTGCCCTGAGCTCCCGACCCAGCGCCCAAACAGGCTAAACTGGGTGATCTAGCAGCCCCGCGGAAGGGAGGGGGAATGAAGGAGGCCCCTGGGCACAAGCTGGGATGGGTCAGGGAGAGAGAGGTTGCAGCAGAGGAGGAGCAGCCCCAGCAGAGGGTACCTGCTCTGTCAGACTAACGGGGGGGGGGGGGGGGGGGGGGGGAGTGGGGGGGGCAAGGGGGGGGGAATGCCCCTGCTCCGTTTCCTGTGTCCTGCTGGGGGCCCAGAACACTCTCCCCACTCAATAGGTTCTTCAGGGGCAGGACCAGGCTCCCCTTCGCCCGTGGACCTCGCCAATAAAAGGTCTACCACTCTGCAGGCCAGGCCCCAAAAAACCTACTTGATTTAGTAGTAGTGGGGCGATCTGCTCTCAGTGTTGGCTTCACTGTTTCATGCTTGGACTATCCCGCATCTGCTGCCGGGGCCTGTGCGCCGGGTCTGGTCTTTGGTACTCTTGCCAGAGTGATCCACAAAGATGTTTACAAAAAGACTGCTCATTTGCATCCCTGAACCTTCCCACCATCCTCTGCAAAGACTTCTGAGCCTCTTGATCAGATGCTGTAGCAGCCACTCTCCTGGTTCTCAATGCTGGCTTTGGGCGCTCATCGGCTTTCTGGGCTGACAACATACTTGGCAGCAGTAACTTAAAGTACGACAGGTTTGTTTTGGTTCATGTTTTCAGAGGCATCCTCGTCACCAGGCTCTGTTTTTGTGCGGTTTTGTGGTGAAGCCAGAGGATATGACAGGAGGGAGTGCTGGGACAAGGCTGCCAGCCTCCTGCTATCCTGGAAGCACAGGGATGGGGAAATAAAGGGGCTGCAGTATCTCCTCCAAAGGCATGCCTTACATCACTCTCTTCCAGCAAGTAGGCCCCACCCCCTAACGTTGCACTTTCTCTCAGTGTACCCTCAGGTGAACACCAAGCCCTCAACAGATGAGACCGCCATAGCATCTTAGACTATAGCCAGTAGAAGAGGTACAATAGGCAGAGCTCAGTAAGACTGGGTTAAACATTAACGCATCTGTCACCACAGCCCAGAACAGCAGGCATCCCAAAGCCAAGTTTCAGAGCTGCCTGGTGCTCCTAGACTAAGGAGTGAGCTGCAGACATGGCTCACTTTGCGCAGGTCATGGCTGAAGTGGGCGACTTTGGTCGCTTCCAGGCACAGGTGACCATCCTGATGGGCATCCCCAATTTCCTGTCTGCCTTCTTCGTGTTTAGTCAGGTCTTCATGGTCCTCGATGAGGCTCACCACTGCTCAGTGCCCTGGGTCAAGAACCACACTCTCAACCTAAGTGCTGCAGAGCAGCTGGCAGTAAGCATACCCAACGACACAGCGGGCAGACCTGAGTCCTGCCTCATGTTCCAGCCACCTCCTGACAATGCCAGCCTGGAAGACATCCTCAGCCACCGCTTCAATGAGACACAGGCCTGTGACTCAGGCTGGGAGTATCCTGAGAACAGGCCTCAGTCCCTAAAGAATGAGGTAGGATTGCCTATTATCTGTGTGTCTTGTGTGGAGTCTATCCGTTCTCTGTCTGATCTTGTGCCTTTGATGCCCTTTGTTGCTCTGGTTCTGCCTTTATGCTTGTATGTAGCTGTCTGTCGCCTGTTCCCCCCTTTTCTCGTCAGCCCGTGTTTCTGTTTGTCCTCTGTCTTTTGGCCCTCTCTCACTCTCTGATTTGCCCTGCCTGCTTTACTTGTTTTCTATCACGGTTTCATTTTTCGCCTGTCCTTTTGTGAGCCTGGTGGTATCAAGGTACCTATAAACTGTTGACAGAGAAGAGGAAATATTTATCAGAGAAGAAAAACAAAAGGAAGACTGGTCACAGGCAATAGACAATGTCTAGTAGCCAAATCCAACTCTGGTACAGTAAAGAAGACGGAAAGTTTGCTAGGATTCATAATCTCTGTTCTCTTACAAACTCAAGCACATAACTCAACTTCTCCAGCTATCTCAGCATCCCCGGGCCCTTGGAAAGTACTCTTGTGTCAGGCTGTTCTCATTTCCAGAATGGAAGGATTAAGGCGGTGACTTAGTCCAGGAAGTATAGGAAGCTGATCATGGTGCCAGGCTGCTATGCTGAGTCCCTGGTGTCCAGCTTTGTCTTTTAATTTTTTTTTTCCAGCAAAGAAGCATGTGTGGGGAGTCTAGAAACTCAAGGGTGCAGGCTCATGAGGGGGTCTCTGCATTCTCATCACGTTTGTGGTTGTAGATCTGGAGCCCACAGATTAAACATTCACTCTCCTGCCCTACACACACTTGAAAAAAAAAAACATCCGTTTTTTAGAAGCCTCTGGAGACAGTGTTTTAACCAAAGTGAAACATTCACTTTTTCAGATGGGACTATAATCTTTCCACGTCTGGGAGTGTGTCCTTTCTGGGATTCTCCTCATTCTGTCACCTTCCCCCTTACCCAGGGGAACTAGGTTACCTTAAGGACACTCCTATCCACTGGATCTAGCTCAGCCTGGCCTGGAAGACTCAGGCCTCTCCATGACTCCCTGGCATCACCTTATAGCAGGTTCTTACTATCCCTCAGATGTTTGGAGAATACTTATAATTGCACAGAACTGCTCTGCCCACCTGGCAAACAACAGCATCTTTAAGGCCCAGTGAACCTCCCAGATTGCCCTGAATCTACTCTAAGCCTTGTCCACTGCATATGCTGAATTGTTATGTAATTTTACTCAGCCAAAGCTCAGCAGCAGGCCTGAATCTTCATGGCTTTAAAGCACCTAGGAGTCTGCTACAAACCCTTCACCTAGTACCATTTCTCAGTTTCCTCTATCCCCAGCCTTCAGCTGGGCCCTTCACTGTCAGGTTCCAAGTCTACTCTACACACATAAGGCACAGAACTGAAAGGGAACAATTGCTGAAATCACGAGCTCAATCCATTTGGTGTATCTTTGCTTTTAAGTTGTTTTATTATGTGAATGGGCATTTTGTCTTTGTGTGTGTGTGCCATATGCATGCCTCGTGCCTGTAGAGACCAGAAAAGGGCATCGAGTCTCTGAAGCTAGAGTTGTAGGTGATTTTGAGCTTCCATGTGGTGTTGGGAGTCAAGAGTAGGCAGTGTTCTTCACTGCTGAGCCATATCTCCAAGTCCCAATGCATTTGTTTTTAAATGCATTTATTTACTCCGTGTGTGTGTGTGTGTGTGTGTGTGTGTGTGTGTGTGTCTTGAGGGGTGGTCTTAGCAGGCATTTAGTCAGATAAACAAATTGAAGAAGCCAGATCTGTTGCTATCTAGGTCCTGGGAACTGAACTCAGCTCTTCAAGTTTGGTAGCAAGTATCTTTAGCCCATGATCCATTTTACAAGCCTATATTTTGGTGTTTGAAAAAGTTTAATCCCCCAAGGCCAGCCTGGTATATAAAACAAGTTCCAGGACTGCCAGTACTGTTGTACAGAGAAACCCTGACTTAGAAAAAATAAAAAGTTTAATCCTTTCCTTCATTTATCAGTGAAAGAAGTTAGAAGTCAGCTTCTCTCTCCAACAGCCAGTAGATTCCATTGAAAAATAGCCATACAGAACCTCTTGGGAATGAGGAGGGGCAGGACGGGAGTCATCCACTTTAATGAGTCCACCAAACGCTGGATCATGGGTGGCAGAAAATGGAATGTGTTGTTAAATGACAGTGCCCACCAGAAGCTCTTCTTCGACCCTGGAGGCTCCATGGCATTGGCTCTCGCTCACCATAGATGCACGCACTGGGTCTTTCTGTGTTCTTCAGAATAGTCTCCGTATGCTTGACCCTATTCTGGCCAGGCCCAGCTTCTGAGGAATCTCTGATGTGATGGCCTTGTGTGTCTTCTTGACAGGCTTCTCAGTCAGAGGGGTCATCCCTAAGATCAGTCTGGGTCCTCACATCAAGAAAACAATGGGACAGTGGAAGACCTCCGTTTCTTTTACAGTTTTGAATGAGTGCAAAGAGATCATTGAAATATACCTGTTTGCGGTTACTCAGCCACCACAATCCCCCATAGCTCTCTTGTCCTGGAATATCAAAAAATGCAAGATTTTATGACTTTTCACCAATCCTCGGCAACACAGATACAAAAAAAAAAAAGCAGCACAGGGTCAGCAAGATGGCTCAGGAGGATGATGGCTCAGTTGTCAAGTCTGCTAACTCAATACAGTAGACAGAGGGAATCAACTCCTGTCACTTGTCCTCTGACCTCCATATACATGCTATGGCATACACATGTACACACATGCACAGGCACACACATGATAAATGAGAAGAAAAAACCAGCATGTCCTCACATGGACACTGGGATGTTGGATTGGATGTCAGGATGTTACCATTTCTCAAAGCAACTCATTTGATAGTCTGTGTCCTGGTCACCTGGAAATAGTGACCCCTTTATTGAGCAGTTGTCTAGAGCAGATCAGCCTGGCGACATGTCTCTGAGACATGTAGTTTATTTGAGAAGGCCCAGCCCACTGCTGGGAGAACCATTCCTAGGCAGGTTGGCCTCAGCTGTGTAACAAAGATAGCCTGGGAACAAGCCAATTAGCAGCATTTCTCCAGGTCTCTATTTCAGTTCTTGCCTTTAGAGTCCTACCTTGACTTCTCTTAATTATGGGCTGTAACCTATAAACCAAGGAAGCCATTTCCTCCACAAGCTGTTTCTGGTCACAGAAAAGCAAAATTGGGACCAGGACAGGATTGTTGCCATGCTGGACCTAACCATGTTGCTTTGGGGATTGTGAAAGAGTTTGGAACTTTAAGTGGAAAAACCATCAGCTGCTAAGAGCTTAACGGGCTGCTCTGTGGGAGCTTGGAAGATAAGAATGTTGAGAGGAATGCTGGAGGTGGATGCATGGCTTGTGAGGTTTCAGAGGGAAGCAAAAACTATTATGGTTGTGTCTTGTAAGATTAGAATGTATGGAAATGAAACCTTTGCTTTACTGGGACAATGGATGCTGGTCAGCTGAGACTAAAAAATCAGCTATGATTAATAGAGATTAGTTATAGTGTGAATTCGAGTTGGTCTTAATAATAAAAACCCATAGTCAGATATCGGGGTAAATCCTGAAAGATCAGAGAAGTAAAGGAGCCAGCCACTGGAGAGACTTTTTACCTGTACCAAATCCTCAGATCAAAGAGGAAAGATCCTTTCTCTACAGATCCTCAGACTAAATGGGGCTGAGCTCCTATCTCCTCCTGCTTTATACTCCTCTCTCTGCTCAGCCATGTCCCTTCTGTCTCCACATCCCTAGTGCTAGGATTAAAGGCATGTGCCCCCCAAGTACTGGGATCAAAGGTATGAGATCCCAAGTGCTCAGGTCAAAGATGTGTGCCACCACTGCCTGGTCTTTGTGGTTAACTAGTGACTAACTCCACCCTCTGATCTTCAGGCAAACTTTATTTGTTAGAGTACAAACAAAATATCACCACAATTAATTGTATTAAGGTGAAATCTTTTGCAAAGTATCTCCTTAGAGTCAACACAGAGAAGCTATGGTCTGGGGTGGAGGTGGGGGCCGTGGCTGCATCTCCAGTTGGTAAATGAACTTGACCATATGAAAGAATCTCCTATGTGGTTCTGATTTTGAACGCATGAGAGATGCAAGATTGAGGGGTTCATGAGGAGCAGTTCAAGCCTGGAACCATGTGGCAGTATTGGAGTCCCTAAAGAAAATTCAGGAGAGATCATTAGTGTAGGTTAGCCTCAGTTGCAATGGGGACCCCAGGATTGAAGGGGTCATGGAGAGAAGCTGACACTTGGCACCATGAGGTACAGTTGGAGTCCTAGCAGAAAGGCCAAGAGAAGCCATTGGTGAAGGGACAGCCTCAGTTGCAAGGAGGGTCTCAGAATATTGACAATGCCAGGAGCATGCAATGAGCGTCATCAAGGAGAGCAGCATGCATGGAGTGGAGCCAGCCTGAGCCTACAAGACAAGCAGTGTGTGTTCTGGATGGTGGAGCAGAGAAGCGGGGCTCCCCAAGCCACCAGGAGCCCAAAAGTTCATGAGTGAGTTCCAGATGTTGGACATCCGGTTCCTTGACTTTTGGATTTAGGCTTTGCTTTTCCTATGTCCTGGTTCTTCTCTTTGGGAAGTAAGGAATTATATAACTTGTTTTTTAATTTTATTTTATAAAAGCCCAGAGTTGAGAGAATTTAGATTTTTAAAGAGACATTGAACTTTTAAAACCCTAGAATTTTTTAAAGACTAGGGGTTTTAAATTTGTCCTGTAATTTTTGTTATGATATTGATGTAAGATCTTGGGGACAAAAAGAAAGGAAAGTTATAGTTTAGCATGTGATGTGTTGGTGCATTAGGTTGAAAGTGTCCTGGCTAGTTTTATTGTCAACTTTACACCAGTGAAATTTAACCCGGTGCAGTGGTGGTACACATTCTTTAATCCCAGCACTTAGGCTACAGAGGCAGGAAAATCTCTGTGAGTTCAAGGCCAGCCTGATCTACAAGAGCTAGTTCCAGGATGGACAGGCTCCAAAACTACAGAGAGAAAC